GATCAGGAATGGACGATATGCACACCCTCTAATCCAGAATGAGAGTCACAGGCAGTGTGAGTACAGTCTGGTCGACATAGTTCCTGTCTCAAAAAATAAAAGAATCTATAAGAATCTAGAGCTAAGAAACTGCAACTTTGTAAAACTAGAAAAGTCTGTCAAAAATTGTAGGCAAGAGCATATGGCCACAATTCTTTACACACTCTTTCTCTATTGGTGACTTAGGGTTTCTATTACAGTGACAAATACCGTGACAAAAAACAACTTGTGGAAGAGAGGGTTTATTTCATCTTACAGCTTTTACGTCTGTCACTGAGGGAGGTCAAGGCAGGAAAACAGCAAGAACCTTGAGGCAGGAGCCGATGCAGAGGTCATGGAGGATTACTGCTTACCAATTTGTTCCTTGTGGCTCCTCAGCTTGCTTTCTCATAGCACCTAGAACCACCAGCCAGGCAAGGCATTAGCCAGGGTGTTTCATGAGCCTTAGAGGGTGGTCTGGTGATGTAGAGAACAAATGAAGCCCTAAGTAAATGTGGGGGCTTTATCTAAGCATGACCATATCAAGGACTAATGTCTTAGCTACACAGAGTGGCAAAGCCTTCTCCAGGTGAGGCAGAGGGATGGTAAAACCTTTCTTGGGGCTCCAAGTGTAAATGTTGACAGTGTGTGCTGAAAATGTCCATCATCGCTTCTCCTTGCATGGTTACAACCTGAAGACTGGTTCACCTGTAGAGACTGATCCTACGGATGGAGAGTATCTAAACCTGCTTCATTGAGTCATCTGTATGCAATTACCCTGCTTCCCTGCTCAACTGTATAGAATAAACATGGTGAGGTTTGGGCAGCCTTTGGTTTTCCCATCAGAGGGTCCAGGCCACTTGATCCAAGTTTTTCTATGTCTTTTCTTCATTCCCTTGACATTCCCAGTCAATTCAAGTCCCTGAGGCCATATAAAGACTCAGAAGTGAGAAGCTGATACAGGTGATCGTCAGGTTGAGCACTCAGTCACATTCTCAACACTTTGGCCAGTTGTGAGTCTCTGCACTAACTACTGCTCACTACAAAAAGCTTTCTGATGAAGGTTAGGAAACCTTATAATCCAGGTCTACAGGTACAAACACAAATATTTAAAAGGCTCAGTAAATCAACAATAGCAAGTCCCACCACAGGGGCTTTGACCAGGCTCACAGTACTAAGATTAAATTGCCCCTTATGAGGCAATAGGAATTAAAAAAGAAGTCCAGTTCAAAGGCACAGAAAATATATTCAACAAAATCATAGAAGAAAACATTCCCAAACTAAAAAAGGACATGTCTATGAAAGTTCAAGAAGCTTACAGAACACCAAATAAACTGGACCAAAAAATGAAAAAATAAAGTCCCCTTGTCACATAATAAACAAAACACTAAGCATACAGAACAAAGAAAGAATATTAAGAGCTGCAAATGAAAAAGACCAAGTAATATACAAAGTCAGACCTATCAGAATTACACCCAACTTCTCAATGGAAACAACGAAAGCCAGAATGTCCTGGACAAGTGTTATGTAGAAACTAAGAGACCACAGATGCAGTCCTAGACTACTATACCCAACAAAGATTTTAATCACTGTAGATGGAACAAACAAGATATTCCAAGACAAAATCAGATTTAAACAATACCTATCCACAAATTCAGGTCTACAGAAAGTACAGAAACAAATGTCCAACTCAAAGAAGTTAGCTACATCCACAAAAACACATGCAAGAGATGATCACACAGCAGCCAGTTCACAAAGAAGGGAAACACACACACAATACCACCAACACCAACAAAAACAAAAATAAAGGAACTAACAATCACTGATCATTACTATCTCTTAATACAAATGGATTCAAGTTACCTATAAAAAGGCACAGGCAAGTCGATTGGATATGAAAATAGAATCCATCCTTCTGCTGCACACAAGAAACACACTTCCGACATTACCTCAGAGTAAAGAGTTAGGAAATGATTTTCTAATCAAATGGACCTAAGAAACAAGCTGGGTAGCTATCCTAATATCTAACAAAATAGACTTCAAACTAAAATCAATCAAAAGAGATGAAGAAAGTCATTTCGTATTTGTCACAGGAAAAACTCACCAAGAGGAAGTTTCAATTCTGAATATCTATGCCCAAAATACAAGGGCGTCCACATTTGTAAAAGAGACAATATTAAAGCTTAAATCATATATTAAGCCACACACACTAATAGTGGGAAACTTCGACACCTCATTCTCACCAATGGACAGGTCTGCCAGACAGAAACTTAACAAACCTAGAAAGGAACTAACAGATGTTATAACCCAAATGGACTTAACAGATATCTATAGGACATTCTACCCAAACACAAAAGAATATACCTTCTTCTCAGCACCTCATGGAACCTTCTCTAAAAATCGATCACAAACTCAGTAACAAAGCAAACCTCAACAGATACAAAAAGATTGAAATAACACCATGTATCTTATAGTATAACCATGCCTTAAAGTTAGAATTCAACAACAACACTAATTTCAAAAAGCTCACAAACATATGAAAATTGAAAAATGTTCAACTGAATCACCACTGAGTCAAGGAAGAAATAAAGAAATTAAAAACTTCTGATTTTTGGGATCCAGTCTGTTTGGACACTCACCTTCCTGGACCTGGAGGGAGGGGGGAGGAACTTGAACTTCCCACAGGGCAGGAAACCCTGACTGCTCTTTGGGATGGAGAGGAAGGAGGAGAGGGAGTGGGGGGAGTGGGAGGGTGTTGGGAGGAAGGGCGGAAATGGAAACTTTTATAACTTAATAAACTTTGAAAAAAAAAAGAAATTAAAAACTTCCTAAAATTCAATGAAAATGACCTCACAACATACCCAAACTTATGGAACACTATGAAAGCAGTGCTAAGAGGAAAGTTCATAGCACTCAGGCAGAGGTTTTGGTGTCATTTACATAAACTATATTGAGAAGATAGGGAGAGAATGATCATATCATTAGCTGCTGAAAAATCTTTCAACAAAATACAAAACCCCTTCATGATAAAGGTCTTGGAGAGAGCCGGGACACAAGGAACATTCCTAAACATAATAAAGGCAATATACAGTAAGCTAGCAGCCAACATCAAACAAAATGGAGAGAAAACTCAGTGATCCCACTAAAATCAGGAACAAGACAAGGCTGTCCACTCTCTCCATATCTTTTCTATATAGTACTTGAAGTTCTAAGTAGAGCAATAAGACAACGAAAGGAGACTAAGGGGGAGACAAACTGGAAAGAAAGCACTCAAACTGTTGCTATTTGCAGATGATATGGTAGTTTACATAAGTGATGCCAAAAATTCTACCAGAGAACTCCTACAGTTGATAAACACCTTCAGTAATGTAGCAGGATACAAGATTAACTAAAATAAAAATCAGTATCTCTACTACATACTGATGATAAATGGGTTGAGAAAGAAATAAGAGAAACATCATTTTTCACAATATCCATAAACAACATAAAATATTTTGGGGTAACTCTAAGCAAACAAGTGAAAGACATGTATGACAAGAACTTTAAGTCTTTGAAGACAGAAACTGAAGAGAATATCATAAAGTGGAAAGAGCTCCCATGTTCATGGATATGTAGGATTAACATGGTAAAATTGGCAATCTTACCAAAAACAATCTAGAGTCAATGCAATTCCCATCAAAATCAAAGCACAATTCTTCACACACCTCAAAAGAGTAACACTAAATTTCATATGAAAAAAACAAAAAAACCCAGGATAGCCAAAACAATCCTGTACAATAAAGAAACATCTAGAGGCATCACCATCCCTGATGTTAAGCTCAATATTGAAAACAGTTTGATATTGGCAAAAAAAGACAGGTGGACCAATGGAATCAAATCGAAGACCCAGATATTAATCTGTACACATATGAACACTTGATTTTTGACAAAGAAGCAAAAATAAAAATAAAATGTAAAGAAGAAAGCATCTTCAACAAATGGAGCTTGTATAACTGGGTGTTGACATGTAGTGTAGACAAATGCAAATAGATCCATATTTACCACCATGCACAAAACTCAAGTCCAAATGTAGATGGGGTGGTGGGGTGAGGTAGGGAGAGGTAGGAGAGCAGGAAGAGAGGAGGGAGGGGGAACTCAGATTGGTTCGTAAAAATAAATAAATTAATTAAATAAATTTAAAAAATTAATTTTTAATTTAATTAAAAATTAAAAGATAGGAAGTAAGTATTGAAGTAACAATATATTGACTTAACCATTAAACTATATAAAACAACAAAACAAGGTCATCACTGTCTCACTAGGTAACAGGATAGTTTTGGCACGTGGTCACTAGACCGTTGCCTTGGTTTTCTCGGTGTTCTGACTGGAAAACATTGTAGTGAAGCAACACATCTTCCAAAAGCAAGTAAAGCCACAACAGCCTTTTAAATATCAATTTTTTTACATAAACCAGAAGTACATTAATTTCAGTTTATTATCATTTTTATCTTTCAACTCAGGTGTACTGAGCAAAGGGTTGTTTTGTGTTTTGCACATGAAATATCTTAAATCACGGTTAAAAACTTTCTATGTCTACGTTCACTTTATTGTTATAGAGGAATACAACCAGAACTAAGGATGATAAGCTCACAATTGTGCTTGTTATGTAAGTCACCGATTATTTGACTTTGCTTGACAGTCATACTTCATATGACTATGAACAATGGCAGCGGCCAGAATTCCATAATCTTGTGGGTTATATGCTAAACTCATTTTAAAGATTTCTTTCAGAAAGCCTTAGCAACGGAATTCTAAAGCAACTTAGAAACATTCAAGCATTCTAATAAAGAACGGATCATAATAAAGAATGCACACTTTGTTTTAGGAGCAGAGCAAACACTGGTCTCCACCTGAGCGGTCAGGTGTAAAGGCCTCCAAATGACCTGTACTCAGTCTCTGCAGCTTCTTAAACCCGACCAATCACAGAGCCCCAGAGTACAAACCTTGTGGCTTTGGACTTGCAGCTGAGCGTTTTGCTGGTGTCCTCCCATTTATTCCCTGAGCCTCTGTGGTTGTGTTGCTTGTAGGTGGACTGACCTTCAGACAGGTATTGATGCCTAGAGTTTAAAGGGAAAGGGAAGGTAAATACAGAGACACTGCACAGCTCTTCTTCTGATGGCACTGCGCCACAGGACCTTAGAACCCTTGTCACACATGTGCTGCCCTTGCCCGCTTTTGCTGGGGAGCCCTCATTCTGTGTGATTGAGAAAGCTTCATGTTCACGTGGAAGGGAAGCGTCTGTGTAAAGATCCCTCTCTGTCTGCAGAAAGGACAGGCTGTAGCTGCTAGGTGATCATCTAGGGTCAGTCTACGATCTAATTACTCAGAAGACACAGGAAAACACAACTGTGACGGTTGGCATGGAGACGACGAAAGAAATATCAAAGTGAAGCGAGCCAATGTGCTCCTCTCCCCCAACAAAGTAGCTTCCACGTACCATCCCTAACATGTTCTAGGAGTGGCCCATACGTGCAGCAATGCTGAGATTATATGTATACTGCCACATGTGTTTACAACCCAGACAACCCTGGCATGCAGCATGAGACACTGCAGGGAGAGACAGTCCTCTGTTCTGTTCTTGATACAAGTTATATGCTGAATTTCAGACTTTTAGAAAGCCGTATGCCAATATTCTTTACAGATAGATTCTATTGGGAGTGCGAGACATTGCAATATTAACAATAAAGAAACTCCACCTAGGAGAAATAAAATTTCTATCAGAAATTCACTGTAACTGAAACAAAAAGTATTTAAGAAGCTGTTGTTATGAAAGGAAGCTTCATTTTTGCATCTCTAAGTGAGAGCCGCTGAAGGTCTTGTAAGCCTTAAGTTAATTCAGAACAAAGCCGATCCGAAAAGCCCAGCTGAGTCCTCAAACCCCATTCAACCCGAGTGGTGAAACCAGGTCTACTAAACCGTGACTGCCTTCATTTCCGTTCTCCCTCTGAAATTCAGTCGTTAAGCCAGATTTTAGAAAATATGAAGTGTCAATATTATTAGGCAGCCCATGACTAAAGCAGAAATTAACATGGCTTTCAACAGACACCTTGAAGTGTAACTCTGATATGACTTAAGCATCATTTAGCAAAACAAGTATTACTGAAAATTTTGATAGAATGCTATGAAAATCTTTTTTTGTTTGTCTGTTTTGTGTGTTGTTTTGAGTCAGGGTGTCACTATGTAATCCTGGCTGGCCTGCTTTCTATGTTGACGAGGCTGGTCTTGAATTCACAGAGACACCCCCTACACACACTTCTAAATGCTGGAATTGCATTCATGAGCCACCATGCTCAGCTAAAAGTTCAAATCATTAGATGGATAAGTGAGGAGGCAGCAAAGTTTGTGCCTCAAGTACACAGTAAGTCAAGCTTCAGGGGATTTGGGTGTTTGAGACAACTGAAGCACAGTGGAGCAGTCTAAAGATGTCTGTCGTCGTCCCGGTGAAGGGCAGCTTTGAGGACACACAGTGAAAAGACACAGCTCAGTGGAAAGCAGAGGGGGACACTTTAACATACACTTCAACTCCAACTCTGGTGCAGAAAGCTTGTGACGGCTAATCTCAGTTGTCAACTTCACTGTATCTAGAATCAATGAAAACCTAAGCAGCTGGGAAGCACACAGGAGGTTAAAACCAATCATTTGAGGCAGGAAGACCCAGCCTAAATCTGGGCCACACCTTCTAGTGGCCGCCCACATAAAGGACAGTGATGAAGGAAGCGTTTGCTTTGGCCTGCTTGCCCTCACTCTTGCTGGCAAGTTCATCAATCCTGATGCTGAGACATTCCTCTGCTCTTAGAAATCCCTTCTTCAGAATTCTGACATTGACTAAAACCTCATCAGCTGAGGCAACCAGCCTCAAGGACTGAACAACTACCAGATTTTTTGCCTTTCTGTCAGCCATTGTTGGACTAGGCAGGCTGACTACACTGTAAGTCACTTTAATAAATCTCTTTCCTTTTCTCCTCTCCCCTTCCCACCCTCCCCCTCACACCCCAACCCCCCCCCCCCCAATTCAAAAACAAAAATCCACAACAATCACATATTAAAATAAACAATGTATGTGTTTAGAAATAAGCTTATCCTGTATGACGGGTTTCATAAATGTTCTTTTTCTACAGATTACCTCCCATGGATGCAATTTCACAACAATTTTCTTATCAATTCATTGTTACAGATCAGCCATGGCTAGAAGCTTCTTATCAGTCTAGTGTTTAAAACAAGTTCCCAACCTTCAGTCACAATCGCAAACCATGGAAGCACAGGGAAGGGGTATTAATCTTTCTCTGAAAGTCTGATAAAATTCTGCTCGAAAACTGTCTCCCCCTGGGATTTTTTGGTTGGGGGACTTTTAACTACTGCCTCTATTCAGTAGGAGTTAATATGTCTATTCAAAAAGCTTATTTGGTCTTTATTTAACTTTGTAGACTATATATATCAAGAAAGTTACCCATCATTTCTTTTAGATTTTCCAATCTGGTACAGTACAAATTTCTAAAGTATGTCCTTATGATTCTATGGATTTCCTCCATGTTTGTTGCTATGTACCCTTTTTATCTCCAGTTTCCTTAACTTGAATCTTTTCTCTCTGCCTTTTACTTAATTTGGATATGAACTTGTTAATTTTACTGTTTTTCTTAAAGAGCCAACCCTTTGTTTTATTGATCCTTTGTATTGTTTTAATCTGTGGTGATCATAGAGGATCCAGGGGTGTTATTTCAATTTTCTTATATCTGCTGAGACTTGTTTTATAACCGAGTATGTGGTCAACTTTGGAGAAAGTTCCATGAGCTGTTGAGAAGGATATTCTTTTGTGTTTGGATGAATAATTCTGTAAATATCTGTTGGGCCCATTAAGTTTATAATATCACTTAGCTCCAGTATTTCTCCATTTAGTTTTTGTCTGAATGACCTGTCTACAGGCAAGAGTGGGGTATTGAAGTCACCTACTATCATTGTGTGAAGGCCACACAGTGATTTAAGCTGTAGTAATGTTTCTTTATGAACCTGGGTGCCCTTGTGTTTGGTGCATAGATATTAAGAATTGTGAAGCCCTCTTGGTGGATTTTTTCCTTTGATGAGTGTGTAGTGTCCTTTCCTATCTCTTCTGACTAGTTTTTGATTGGAGTCTGTTTTATCAGATAGGAAAATGGCTACGCTAGCTAGCTTTTTAGGTCTGTTTGCTTGGAATATGTGTTTTCATCATTTTACCATAAGATGATGTCTATTTTTGATGGTGAGATGCATTTCTTGGATGTAGCAAGAAGAGCGATCCGGTTTTCTAATCCAACCTGTTAGTCTGTGGCTTTTACTTGGGGATTGAGACCACTGGTGTTGAATTATCAATGAGTAGGGTATTTTGATTCCGATGATTTTGTTGTTGTGGTGTGGGATTTTTACCGCCACTTTTAATTTGCTTGTCTTTCATTATTTATTCCTTGTGTCTTCTTGAGTGTGGTTAGCCTCTTCAGGTTGATGTAGGACTGAATTTGTAGATAGATACTGTTTAAATATGGTTTTCTCATTCTTCATCTATTGCAATAGAAAGTCTTTCTAGGTATAGTAATCTGGGCTGGTATTTGTAGTTTCTTAGAATTTGTAGAATATCTGGTTCAGGCTCTTCTGGATTTTAGAGTCTCCAGTAAAAAGTCAGGAGGCATTTTGACAGGTCTGCCTTTATGTCACTTCATCTCATTTCCTTGAAGCTTTTAATATTCTTTGGGTTCTTTTCCTTCTGTACATTTAGTGTTTTGGTTATTATGTGTTGTGGGAAATTTCATACGTATTTAAGAGAACAAAAGAAGTTTCTATTTTCTAGCAATTTTAGTAGAAGCCCAGAAGTACAGAGATAGTAAAAACCAAACACAAAACCCCATTTAAAAGAAATGTTAGATTAACAAAGAAATTGTGCATAGATTCTCCTCTAAAATGACTTGTCAATAAAATACATTGTATACAAACTTTGTTATTGCACTAAATGTTCGCTCTTATTTACAATTCACTAATTTTCTACAAACATCCTTTTTCTCTTACAAGCTTTAGTCCAGCTATCACACTCTAGAGTCATCATTGCTCTTTGAGACACACCAATCTGCGAGTGATACTTAAGACTCCATTGTTTTGCATGATGTCAGCCCTTCTAAAGAATACTGTCGGGCATTTTGCAGAGAATGTCCTTCAGAGAGTTTTTCATGGGTATGTTCTCACCGTCACATCATTAAATCACTCTATTGCTTTAGCGTGATTAACATGTGATACGTGACATTTACTTCGGTCACTTGGGAAGGGGGTGTTTGGCAGTTGTTTTTAGCACAAGGCATTTTTAATGCTGTCTCTGCGGGAGTGAATGAGCTCACACAGGTAGGCACATACAGAGAACTCCTTGATCTGCCTGTCCACTTACCTTATTCTTCAAAACAGAAGCTCTCACTTAGTCTGGGACTCACTGCATCTAGACCGACCTGCTGGAAATGCAACCTCCAGGACTTGTCTGTCTCCTGTCACCAGAGCTGGGTATACAGCATCATGCCTAGAGTTTTATGTAGGTGCTGGGGAATCTGCACTTGGATTCACAAACTCTCCCACTGAGCTGGACACCCATCCCTTATAGTCCTCTCCTAGCCCCCTTTAAAGTTTTCCTCACTTCTCTGACAGACTGCAGAAAGGCACTGTATCTCGTGTGTTAGCTAAAAGACCTTGGCTAAGAAACTGAGAGCATCTTAAAGTGATAACAACAATGTCATCAGGGTTATAAAACTCAGTCTACAAATGCCATGCTACAGTGAAGAAATCCGGCATTAGAAATTTATCTCATAGAAAGTCAAACTGTGTACTAAATGTTTATAATTGCATGTGTGATGGTTTAAAATGCTGTAACAGCCCACATAGGAAATAAGATGCAATGTGTTGAATATATTTTAAATGCTTGAAATGTTTCGGTTATGGAAAGTGTGCACAGCTTTCACTGGCTGAGAATCTGCATCCTGAACACCTGAAATGCTCCAGAATCCAAGAAACATTTTTAAGGCATCTATTTTTTTTTGTTTAATTGACTCCTTCA